TCCTCCCCCTCCTGCCCCCCCTCCTCCCCCAGACCTGGATGGAGTCGGCAGCGGTGAACACTCTCCCAGTTCTCCAAACCCAGGTGGGAAGTCTGCGCTGCTGGAGCAGATCAGAGGAGGAACCCAGCTGAAGAGGGTGGAGCAGAACAACAGAGCTCCGGTGTCGGGTTCTGGACGGGATGCTCTGCTGGACCAGATCCGACAGGGAATCCAACTCAAGACTGTGAGCAGCTATTTCGCACAAACACATGCAGGACAATCAGATTTTTGTGCTTCAGGTTTAAGGTCCACCTGTAGTAGGAAGGGTTCTGGTTCTGGTTCTAATAGACGCATTTCTGCTGAGCTCTGAGCTACGGCTCCTGTTTAGGTAAAATTATCAATCGGAAACATCAGGAGCCGACGAAAGGTCCGGCACTGGTCCGCCGAAGGAAACGGTTCAGGGAGCATTAGCAGGAGTTAGCATTAGTAGGGTTATAGTTTAGGAGGTAAGGGTTAGCAGGTTTAGCATTGGCAAGGTGGGCTTTAGCAGGGTTAGCAATAGCAGGGTTAGAGTTTACAAGGCTAGAGTTAGCGGTGTTAGCATTAGCAAGGTTAGCATTGGGAAGTTTAGCCTTAGCACGGTTAGCATTGGCAGGGATTAGCATTAGAAAGGGTTAGCATTAGCAAAGTTAGCATTAGCAGGGTAAGAGTTTATAAACTTGAGGTTAGCAGGGCTTAGAGTTAGCAAGGTTAGCATTAGAAGGATTAATTAGCAAGTTACATTAGTGTTAGCAGATTTAAAGCTAGCAGGGTCAGAGACGATTCTCAGCAGGCAGCCCTTCAACCCAGAAAGGCTCCAAATGTAGGACGAGTTTAGGCCAGGGGCTCCTCAGGGACGTGGTCCTGATCCTCGGGGACCTGGTCCCACATGTTTTAGGTTTTCCTTGTTGCATCACAGCAGAAAAGAACAAATCATTAACAGATTTCTGCAGCAGCTGATTGCTGAGCAGGAATCAGGTGGAACAGAGACGCATCTAAAACATGCAGGTCAGGGGTCCAATCCTCGAGGAGCAGGGGTCCCCGAGGAGCTGTCTCCTTCGGGAGCTGTCTCCTTCGGGAGCTGTCTCCTTCGGGAGCTGTCTCCTTCAGGAGCTGTCTCCTTAAGGAGCTGTCTCCTTCAGGAGCTGTCTCCTTCAGGAGCTGTCTCCTTAAGGAGCTGTCTTCAGCGTTGTTAGTGCTGTTCTAAGAACTCTAATTCTAATTTGGTGTGTTTACTGATCTGAGTAAATATAGGATCTATCAGTTTCTCACCCTTAGACCACTAGTCTGTGTGATTTCTTTCTGCATCTCCAGCTCCACAGATTAAAGAAACCTTGTTTTAATAGAACAATCTTTCATTTGGTAAATTAATGCTTTCTTGATGCAAAGAAAAAAGGTGAAAAGGTTTAATTTGACAGTTTTTGTGCCTTCAGGTGTCTGAACATCCAGAATCTGGCCCCCCAACACCAGCCCCAGCTGCAGGGATTGTTGGGGCCCTCATGGAGGTCATGCAAAAGAGGAGCAAAGCTATTCATTCCTCAGGTAAGTTTCTGCATCACCTGAAATACAGAGAGCCCCGACCAGAACCAGCAGAACCTCCTGCATGTACTGGTTCTGACTGGACTGAGACGGTCCTGATACCATCACCAAGCCCTAGATCATCTAATCTAGGACCAGTGTTTGTTTGGAACCCAGGGAGGCTGTGGGGGCCCAGGGGCAGCCGGATCAGCCAGACCCCCTCAATCATTGGCCCCTAAACCTACTGCAGGCTCTAAATGAAGGACCTGAACCTAAATCCAACAGGATTCAAAGATTTTAGTCCTTTTCTGAGAAACCATGTTCTGCAGAGCTGAGTGCTCTTTGGTACGGCGTGGCTTTGGAGCCAAAGTTCAGACTGTCATCAACCTGCGGGATCCGTGAGCAGTGGCGCCTCCAGAAATGTTTCATACGGGGGCCGGATGGGGCCACTAAAAAGCCTGGGGTGGCCACTGAAACTAAAAGCCATAATTTCAGGGTTATAATCTGCTATTGCCTGCCTGTAGAAAACTATCATAAAAACTTCAGTAAACAGCTACTCAGATCTGTATTTATTTTAAAACTTAATCTTATTAATGATCTAATGTGTATAGATACAGACCAATTAACATGTTAAGTTGAACAGCAATTGCTTTTTATTATTTAATCATATTTGGAACAAGATGTACATTTATTCAGTTATTGAACACAAAAACAGATCAATACTGGGCAAAAGCATTAAATGTAGATAAAAATAAAAGGAAGAACAGAAACTATGTCTTTGGTTATGTAACAGAAATTTCCAAACAGAGATAAAGAGTCTTATTTCTGCTTAATGTGAAACAAAATTAATAATTACTTTTACAAAAAGAACTTCCCAGCAAAGATCCACAGTCATTAGAACAGCTTTATTTGCCTGTTTTTTTTTTTTGCTTGTTGGCAAATGCATCCACAAAGTCATCAAGGCCCTTCTGGATTCTGCACTCAGCACACCCGAACAGTGAACGCCCAGCAGTCGTGGTTCTTCTCAAGGCAGTTTTGATTAACTTTAACACTGAAAAACTACGCTCACAGGCTGCAGTGCTCACAGGTAACGCAAGTGCAATTTTGCACAGTTTAAACATTTGGTGGAAGACCTTCCTATATGGCTCCAGAAAGACAGTGAGCTCTGTTCATGTGTTTGGAGTCGAACAGAAATGAAGTACATCATATCCCTTAAACAGCAAGTAAATAGCTTTTGTTCATAAACAGGTAACTGTTTCCTCAAACTTTAGAGAAATAACTTTATTGGTCTGTTAACATAAAATAGTAATGGAATGAAAGCCACAAAATAAAAACCTCTGAGATAAATGCAAAATATACCACCATGGGCGTCCATGTATTTTAACAGCTGACTCAAAAGGCGACGCACACAACAACATGTGTTGGTTAGTGAATTTTAGGAGGGAGCTAGCAACACACACACACACATACATTTACCTTACCAAACTCTGTGTAGCACTACTGAACTATTTAAAATATCCCAAAAACACATTTAACATGACTTCAACATGTTAGTGGATTACTGCAATCATGCTAACTATGTTCTACAACAATAACAGGCCTGAAAATGGGGAAGAATAATGACCGTGAGAAGAGTGTTTCCTCAGCGAGAACCTTTCGTCTAATGAGCAAAAGACCTCAGCATCTCCAGGCATGAGGGCCAATACGGTTCAGTGTGTCCACTTAAAGATCACCTCCTAAATTCACACTCCTTAACCACAAATTGCACAATCAGACAGGCACTGGCCATCATCCTTGGTGGCGCCACTGTCTGTGATTGGCTGGAGCCGGTTGCTGAAAAGGAGAGCCCTCGCCTCCGTTAGCTGTGGACAGGCTAGCCCATTACCTACCCCGTCCATTAGCACAGCTAGGCTAGTGTTAGCATGGATAGCATGTTAGGTTGGTCACCTAAAGGGCTCTTCCCCCACTTTCCTGCATCAGACCAGCAGCTGATGGCCTCCTGCTCTGTCCTGCTGGCTTTCTAACCCTTCCTGTTTGTTTTCTCAGATGATGACGAGGATGAAGAAGAGGATGATGACTTTGAGGATGATGAAGAGTGGGATGACTAGTAGAGCCGTCCGCCTTGCTCCCATGCCTACACTAAATCTTCCAGACCCTAAATTCACCCAGAAATGGAAACGTTTGACTTTCCTCCATATTTATTTTCTTCCATGTAATCTGTGCAATACCTCAGCCGTTCCCTCCACCCAAAACCCTGCTAGGAGGAACTGTCCCGCTCACTGGGAGGCACCTGAAGGCACCACTAACCCGGAGCTGGGACTGGGCCGGCTGCTTTCCTCCTCCACTGAGCAGCAGGGAGGAGGTCGAGCTGCTCCCTGCTTCGGCTGAGCTCATCTACTCCATTTCATCATCTGTTGTCCGGGCAGGAAAATCCTTCTCCTCCTGCTTGTTCTTCTTCTTGGCGTCTGACTCAGAGCTCTGACTCTGCGACCAAACTGTGTGGATCTTTAACTTTCTCATGTGATTTAAAGCCGTTTTTGTTTTTTTTGCACAGTTTCTGACGTAGTTTTGTTTTGTGTGTTTTTACGCCGCGGCTGTTAACGTAACCAGACAATGTTTTTAGTTTCCTCTGGGCGTCTCAGTAATTTAGAGCTGACATGATGACCTTTGTTTTCCCAAACATTCCTTTCTGTGCAGGAAGTAGCACAGTCAGTCTGTCACACTGTTAAAAGAAGGAAAAATGTTGTTTCTTTCAGTGAACTATGATTTTATGCAATGCAATTGTAAATGTCCTCCTATTGCAAATATGAGACAAAGCAAATAATCCTGAACCAAATGAGGCATTTTAAGGAAGCTTGTTGCTTTAGCGATGCCTGTGATCGTTTGTCTGCAAACCGTCTGTCCTCCAGCGAGGCCTAATGCTGCATCAACAAGCCAAGATACTGACAGAGAAACCTGTGAAAAGGTTGGGGGGGGTTGAATTGTATACCTGAATAAATGTTATTATTTACAGAGATCAGCCGCTCTGCTGGATTTTTTTCTTTATTCGATACAATTCAGTTTTATTTCTATAGCACCGATTCACATCATGTCATCTCAAGGCACTTTCCAGTTCACCAGATCATCCAGTCAGATGGATTCAAAGGTTTCTAAGGGAAACCAGCTGATTGCATTGACTCATTGACTCCTCAGCAATCCCTCACACTAAGCATGCTTGTACAGTAGAGACAGTGGAGAGGAAAAACTCCCTTTGAACAGGAAGAAACCTACAGCAGAACCAGGCTCAGTGTGAGCGGCCATCTGCTGAGGCCGACTGGGGTTCAAGGAGACAGAAGCAGAGATAGAAAAAGAAGCTTAGAAGGGCGGCCCCGTCCAGGAAACACACAGCCAGGCAGACGATCTCCGAGCCAGCTCCCATGTCAGAGGATGAAGAGACATCCAGTTAGTCACAGTCAGAGAAACAGGACTACACTGAAAAAAAGGCCAATCTTGTATCTGCGTCACGGACTAAAACTGGTAGTTGGTTCCACTGGAGGGGAGCTTGATAACTTGATTAACCTTTAATGGATTTAACTACAGATTCTCTGTAATTCAGGAAGATGACGAGAACTTCAGAATTCCAATAAAGTCAAACAAACCACTAGGCTTTATTTTCCAAGTTTGTAGACATTTTGTTTAGACAAAACAAGGCTTTGTTGGTCCACTCTATAAAGCCTGGAACTCAACGCTATTTCTGACACTTTGAATTGAAAAGGCTTCCTGGATGGAAGAGAACCGTCTTCAAACTTGGAAACAAAGTCCAGTGGATATATTTTTTTTTTTTTACGTTTTTGGAATCTATGACGTGGATGACTGAGAATCTTCACCGACTCAGTATTAGTTTCTAACACTTCCTCTTGTTTTTATGATATTCAAGCAAAATCTTTCCTCCAATAAATCCGTAGAGTGGAACAAAAAATGTACATGAATGTAGAATGAAGCTAAACACAGAATAAAATTTTCGACACTTCAAATTCCTAAAGATGAGGACGGGCTGCCTTCACTCAGTCTAGAAGACTATTTCTATGCAGTGAAGTTAGAGTCTATAATAGATTCTGACCACATGAAAAAGTGGAAACAAATATAAATGGGTAGTATAGATCATTAGGGGTGGGTATTGCCAAAGAAGTCACGATTCGTATCACGATTCACAGGCCACAATGCGATTCTATCACGATGTATCACGATACTTGAATTATTGCGATGCATTGCAATATTTTCTCCTCCATGTTTTGTTTTTTAATGACTCGGCGCAGTATCCCGCGGCCGGAAATGCTTGTGACACAAGGCAGTGTGCGTCAACACATCCGCAGCGACATCTACTGGACTGGAAGTTGTATTACACTTGTTTTTGGCTGATGTTCGCCAAACATTCATGCAATTTTATTTATGAATTTTTTTTGTTAATAATCGATACTTGGCATCAAGAATCGATGCAGTAGATCACGAAAATTAGAATCACGATGCATCATCATTACAATTATTTTGCACACCCCTATAGATCATGTAAGATCTATGATCGAAAGTAAGAGGATCTTAAAGAAAAATTAGAAGAATTTGGACTCAATCCCTAGATTAAACATTTGGTTTAACATGATGGATGGATGGATGGATGTATGGATGGATGGATGGATGGATGGACAGATGGATGGCTGATGGATAGATGGATGATGGACGGATGGGTGGATGGATGGTGGACGGATAGATGGATGATGGATGGATTGATGGATTGTGGACGGATAAATGGATGGACGGATGGATGGATGGATGGTTGATGGACGGATGGGTGGATGGACGTATGAAGGACGGATGGGTGGATGGATGGACGGATGGATGGATGGATTGATGGACAGATGGGTGGATGAATAGATGGATTGATGGACAGATGGGTGGATGGATAGGTGGATGGATGGATGATGGACGGATAAATTGGATGGATGATGGATGGATGGATGGATGCCAGTTCCCAGTTCTCTTGGACTGGTGTTTTTGGTCCTGGCCATGGAACACTGGATCAGCTCTGCACCCTCAGCATGATTCTGGAAAGTGTATGTGCTTTGTAGACCTGGAGAAGGCATTCAACCGTGTCCCTCGGGGGGTCCTGTGGGGAGGATGTACTGCCCCTAGTGGAGGAGTTTAAGTATCTTGTGGTCTTGTTGAAGAATGAGGGGAAGATGGAGCGGGAGTTCAATAGGTGGATTGGTGCGGTGCCTGTGTGAAATGGGCCTGTGCTGGTCTGTTGTGGTGAAGAGAGAGCTGAGCCAAAAAGCAAATTTCTCGATTTACCAATTGATCTATGTTCCTACCCTCATCTATGGTCATGAGCTTTGGGTCATGACCGAAAGAATGACATCCCGGATACAAGCGGCTGAAATGAGTTTTCTCCGTAGTGTGTCTGGGCTCTCCCTTAGAGATAGAGTGAGAAGCTCAGTCATCCGGGGAGGACTCAGAGTAGAGCCGCTGCTCCTCCACATCGAGAGGAGAAAGTTGAGGTGGCTTGGGGATCTGGTTAGGATGCCTCCTGGACTTATCCCTGGTGAGGTGCTGCAGGCATGTCCCACTGGGAGGAGACCCAGGACACACTGGAGGGACTATGTGTCTCGGCTTGCCTGGGAGCGACTTGGGATTCCCCGAGAGGAGCTGGCCCAAGTGGCTAGGGAGAGGGACGTCTGGGCCTCCCTACTGAAGCTGCTACCCCCGTGACCCGACCCCGGATAAGCGGAAGAAGATGGATGGATGGATGGATGGATGGATGCATTGATGGATGGATCTATGAATCAAGGTTTTCTGTCCAACAGCAATGATGAACATTCTATACCCAGCTATTGTAGCATCTAGGATAGAGCAGTTAGTCTGGGAAATAATCTTGTTGTTTATTTATAAAGGTTCACTTTTTTATGAAGTGCAACATAAAACTGACTAAAACTAGACTAAAACCTTTTAGAGTTTTAGCCAACTAAAACTATCACATATCTTAATGACTGAAACCCCCACCCCCCGTAACGGATTGTCTTGATTTCTTCCAAACAGACAGTGGACCTGCGGTCAACGCTCCAGCAGTGCTCAGTGGACGCGTCCACTCAGATGACCGGCATTGGCTGCTATGTGTCCTGTCTGAGGGACAGGTTGATCATTCCTGGGAAATACACCACTGCTGCTGAGTATCATGGCCGGAGGCTGGAAGCTGTGAGTGGAAACTGGTTTGCTGTTTCTACCCAATAAAAAGAGCAAGTTAACTGATGGTAGCTGAGGTGACAGATCTCCAGCACGTGCAGTTATTTAGGAAGGACAGTGTTTATATTAAATGAATTATATTTGATCATCTAACACAATCTCTGAGCATCACATATCCATTGAAAGACCAGAACCACCCAACTGGAGCCTGATAGTAAAGGAAGGCCAGTCTCTGAGTAGTTCAGTCCTAGTAGGAGAGCAGATTTTCTCTGAGGGTCTCATAGAACGTTAGACCCAGGAATCTAGCAGATGGGTCAGACAGCAGCTTCTGTTTATCCCAGACGCCCTAAAATGTCCAGAAACAGAAAACAACCCACCCAGGGTGGGCGGAGGGGGAACCAGGGAGGCAGGCACGAAAACAGATCAGAGTCCGAAAACCAAAACAACCCACCCAGGGTGGGCGAGGGCAACGGAAAGTCTCTGGAGGCTGGCCGTGGGGCCGGAGCTGAGGCAGACGCTCTGGAAGCCGGCGTCTCCAATGCTGCAGGAACCTAGGAGGAGGACGCCGCCTCCGCCTCAGCAGGATGCACTGAGGAGGACGCCGCCTCCGCTTCAGCAGGAAGCACCGAGGAGAACGCTGCCTCCGCTTCAGCAGGATGCACCGAGGAGGAAGCCGCCTCCGCTTTTGCTGCTCTGCAACAGGCTCAGAGAGGGCCGCCCACTGCGGCTCCAGATCAGGAACAGAGGAGACCACCGACTGTGGCTCCGAATCAGGTACAGAGGAGGCCGCCGACCGCGGCTCCGAATCAGGAACAGAGGAGCCCGCCGATTGCGGCTCCGAATCAGGAACAGAGGGGACCGCCGATTGCGGATCCGAATCAGGAACAGAGGAGCCCGCTGACTGCGGCTCCGAATCAGGAACAGAGGAGCCCGCTGACTGCGGCTCCGAATCAGGAACAGAGGAGCCC